GACAGTGCGATTGGCACAGGACAGAGCAGAGTTTAGGGCTGTTGTACATAGGGTCGCTATGAGTCGCAAGCGACTCGACGACACATAACAACAACAACATATTCGAAATCATATGTGGTCCTGAAAATGTAGAGGAAACAAATTAATGATGATGATAGGAAGTGAGGGGGAAACATTTGAGCACTACTGGTCTCAGTGAAACAATCTAGCTGTCATTTACTCATACATTGTTGAATAAGGACCAGCTCATAGCTGGTTTCAGAGTTGGTTTCAGAGCCTACAAATCACACAAGAGGAGGCTGCCCGTCTTTCTCCTCAGGAGCAGCTAGTGATTCTAACCACTAGAGAAGGAGGGCCTTTGGTTTAGCAGACTACACCACTAGTGCTCCCAAAGCCAGCCATAAAAGTTTCTATTTTATTATGGTTTTGAATCCTAGTCTACTCTTGTTAGGCTTTTTGCTTCAAATGCCATTCAGAAATTAAAAAGCAAGATAATATACTATTACAAAGTATACTATGAAAACAACCTACCTCGCAAGTATTCTGAGTTTCCAGGGCAGTATTTAATTGCATGATAGCGGCCAAGTGGGCATAGTACTTGTAGTGAAAAAAATAATTTGAGCTATAAATCTTCCATAGCAAGGAGAAGCAGATGGTTTGCCGGTAAAGTTGTGCCAACCTCCCCTTTCTGTTAGATGAAAACACCAATAGAATAGAAAGATAATTCTCATTATGCCCAATTTAGGGGAGCTCCAGGGCTTAGCATTCTCACTACAAGCTTGGGGATTAAAATGGACTCGAGTTTGACGCCTGCCTCTATGACTAACATATGCATGAATTGATTTTTATGAGGCACATGTGTTTCCACTGTAAAATGGATGTCAATATATTTACTTTGTGATGATTATGATAACTGTGTATGGCACCTTTCTGTAGAAAGTAATTGTTATTTAAACATAATTAGAAAGCACATGTATATAATTAATCACATTTGATCCTGATGACGAGTTTGTGAGAAGGGAAGAAGTCATCAACCCTATTTTACAGATAAGAAGCTCTGATGACAGTCCACATTTCCATGATTCTCCAGAACTGACTGTTGGGGTATGTGTGAGTTTCTCTCTGCTGGAATGTGATATGAGACACTCAGCTCTCTCCAGCTTCTTCTCTTACCCGAGGGTAGAGCTGTCCTGGGTCTGGGTCTGTTGATTCAGAAGATTATAGTGTCTGTTTTTCTCCACGTGTGTATGGAGAAACAGAGAGACTAAAGAGTACGGAAATTCTCGGTTGAGGAACTTAAGTGCCTTTCTCAGCATTTTTTTGGCAAGGACCGTGTGGCCCATGTTGAAACAGACCTGCAAGGAGATAGATGAGAAGGAAAGCAGGATTTTAGACTCAGTTTATGTTCAATATGTTCCAGCAATTACATGTTTTTTTGATTTTTATTAAAAAAACTTAGGGAGCTATGGTGGTCTAGTAGTAAGGAGCTGTGTGGCAATTCTGAAAGCACCTGGTTCAAATCCACCAGCTTCTCTGTGGGAGAAAGATGGGCAACCTCCTCCCACGCAATTAAAGTGCTTCTGAAATCATGCTGGAAGGGTCAAGCTATTCCAACTTGTCATTATAAAACTACAACATTAAACTCAATTTATGGCCACCTAGCTGCTAACTGAAATGTTGGATGTTTGAATCCATCAACTCATCCATGGGACAAAAGACCTGATGATCTGCCTCTGTAAAGAGCTTAGAAAACTCAATGGGTCAGTTCTTTTCTATCATATCAGCCCACTATGAACTGAAGTCATTTAAAATGTACACAAAGCCAGAAAATATGGCCCAAGAATAAAATTTTGCCTGGAGGCCGGTTTGTCTTTTTCTGTTGTTGCTGTTGTGTACCATCAAGGCAGAACTGACCCATAGCCGACCCTCCAGTGGATTTTCAAAGGCAGTAAACTGCACAAGAGGAGATTGCTCATCCTTCACTTGTGAAGCAGCTGGTAAATTAGAACTGTGTGCCTTTGGGATCATAGTTCAGCTCTTTATCACTAAACCACCTGCCCACTTGAGTTCTAAAAACAATAACTGATTATAGTAAATGCAGATTGTTCGATTCCACCCCAGAGTGCAAAGTTGGGTAGAGCCTTGGGAAAACGCATTTTCATGTACTCTCAGATGACTCTTATTCTCTAGTACAAAGGGCAAGCCGCTCAGACCTGGCAATGATCTTCCAGACTATCCTATGCCTCTCCAAACTGACACTGATATTGTTCTGGAAAGGCTTGCTATACCAAAGACTAGAGAACACGGCCCCCATCCCATCTCCAAAGTATTTCTCACATTTCTCACCAAGAGCTGAAATTTCATCATAGAAGTCACTTCATTCCTATGAGTCAATCATTGTCCCACACAAATCTCTTGGGGGCATTTCAGTCAGAGTGAAAGGGAATGACAACTAAGAAAATGGTGCAAGTCTTACTCATGGTTTTGCTGTCTGTCAGGGGCTAGCCAGGGGTGACATTTTATGGTGAACATTATTTCCTCATGGAAGAGGGCTGGGGCAAACGTTCCCTGCTGCTTCATAGGATTAATGCGTTCTTATTTGAGGGCTGGGATTCAGGGAGGATGTGAAAGGAGGGACAACCCTTCTCAGCAAGAAAAATTCCAGAGGGTTTTCCTACATTGAAGAATGTTTGTCTTTGGGGAGCTCTGGTGGCCTAGTGGAAGGAGCTGCAACTACAATCCCAGAGGCACACGGCTCGAATCCAGCAGATGCTCTGCCGGGAAAAGGAGGGACAATCTCCTCCTGTACCAGTCAGATCTGATTTGATGGTACACTCACACAAAAATAAAAAAAAAAATTAATAAAAAAAAAGAATGTTTGTCTTTCCCTACAGAGAGACCTGGCTTTCTGATTAGGCATGGAGAGGCTGATAACCAACTTAAGTCTTGGCAATACAGTGGGACATGCATGAACAGCGTGAAAGATCTTGAGGCTGTGCTGCCTCTTAGAGTGAGAGGACTCCACCTATAAGGAGCAAAGGTAGTACGTTTGCTCTTTATCAGGTCCATGGAGTAAACGTACTGTCTTCCTCTCCTAACCTGCTTTCCCCCTCTCTCCATCCGTGCATCATCCTCAGAGAAAAAAAGTCAACTCCTCCCTCACACTCACTGTACATGGCAGATCAAATCTGGGACTCTCACACCCATGTGTGGCTTTGTTCACAACAGCAAGGAGTTGGAAACAACCTAAGTGGCCATCAGCAAACGAATGGCTAGAGAAGCTGTGGTATATTCACACAATGGAATACTACGCTGCATTGAAAAGCAAGGAACTCATGCAATATTATTCAAAATGGGTGACTCTGGAGAACATTATGCTGAGTGAAATATCCCAGTCACAAAAGGACAAATACTGCATGGTGTCACTGTTGTAAAACAGGACTGACCTGAGGGCTGGGGGGAGACTGAGAAAGATGGGTTCAATAATGAATACTGCATTGAAACAGATGACGGAGAAAACTGTTTATAAAGGATATGTGATTAGATATTTTTGTCATGATGGGAGTCCAGAGTGAAGGCTGCATAGTGGAGTGGACCTGGGGGAGGGATGGAAAACAATGAAAGAATTTTTCTTTTACTTTTCCAAGAGGGGAGTGTACTGGGGGTGGGGAGGGGAGAAAAGTGCAACAATGAATGAATGAAAATCCAAAATATCTGTAAATATCCTTCTGAAAACACTATATCCTGTATAGTTCCAACTATATAACATTCTGTAAAGGCAGAACTGTAGAGACAGCAAAAAGATCAGTGCTGTTTAGAAAGAGCCAAGAAGCAGAAGAAATTTTAAGGATAGTGAAACTATTCCACATGTTACTGTAATGGGAAGTGTCATCTGGTGCACTTGTCTACAGGAAGGTGCACTGCTAACCCAGAAGCAAATACCTCTTTGGTGGTTCGAATCCACTAGTAACATCAAGGGAGAAAAATGTGCAATCGCCTTCCTTTTGATTTATAGCTTCAGAAACTTAATGAAGGTTTAGCTATGATTTGTTTCCAATTTACTAGCAATGAGTTGGTTGTTTCAGAGGTTTTTTTGGAGTTTGTTTTGGTTTTTTTAGACTGTAATGGTGGACACATGACATTGCACATTTGTCAAAATCCATAGATGTGTACAACAGACTGAATCCTAAGGCAAACGATAAACATTAGTTTAAAAAAATGTTTATCAATTGTAACTAGAGCGCCATACTAATTAAGGCAAAATGTTAATAGAAGGAGAAAGTCTGTGTAGGAGGAGAGTCAGAATTCTTTGGGCAAATTTCTGTAAAATGAAAACTTCCTTAAAGAGAAAGTATATAAAAATTGTGGAAAAGTAAAATAAAGCTAATGAGGCTTCCCTGCTGCATACAAAGATAATTCCTATTCCCTGATGATTCAATGGACTCCAAAAGAACAGATATGTCTTGGAGAAAGTACAACCAGAATGTTCCTTGGAGACAAAGAAAGTGAGGCTTCATCTCTCATACTTTGGGCATGTTTCTAGGAGAGGCTATACCTTGGAGAGAAACTTCATGCTTGGAAAGGTGGAAAGTTAATAAAAATGAGGAAGACCCTCAACCAGATGAATTGACATAGTGACTGCTGTAATCAGCCCAAGTGTGTCAGAGATGACGAGGATGGCACAGGACAGGACGGGGTCCAGATCTGTTCAAAGGGTCACTATCAATTATACTCAACGGCATCTAACAACAAGTTCACAAATGACTCTGACATTTGCTACCCCTTCTGCCCCTACACACCCAGCTTTCACCTGGGTGCCCTTGTCCATGCTACTGCCTCCTACAGGGAGTGCCCTTTCCCTATCTTTGTTTGCAAAACAGTTATAAATATACCTTAGAAATAATGTGGGTTCAGTCCCAGACCATTGCCATAAAGCACCTTCTTAAAGTGAGCCATGTTAATTTTTTGGCTTCCAATCCATATAAAAGTTCTGTTTAATCTATAATGTAGTCCATTAAGTAGGCAGGAGATTGTGGAAAGTTTGAAATATTTGAAGAATTATCTAAATATGACACATGAAGTGAGCATATGTGATTGGATAAATAGCCCCAGTAGACTTGCTTGATGCAGAATTTCTATGAACCTTCATTTTGTATAAAAAATGCAATCAATATGTGCAAAAGGCAATAAAATAAAGTATGTGTGTCCTCATTTTTCAACTTCCAGGCAAATGCCAGTTCCTTCATGAAGCCTTCCAAAAACCCTTTTGCCCTCTCTCAGATTTTCATCCCAAGTGCTTATTTTTATTTTACAGTAATTTGTATATGTCTCTAGTGACATTTAGATCTATTATTTATTCTTTACTCTGTTCCTTTAGGTGGCATGTGAATGCCTCAAGGTAAAAAAAAAAAAAGTATGTCAAACACTCTGGTTATCTCCTTCACATAACCAGAAACTCCTGGAAGGTTAAGTCCTGTCTGTTCATAACCTTTATATCTCTTGTGCCTGACGTAGGAGCCCTGGTGGAATAGTGGGTAAGAGCTTGGCTGCTAAGTGAAAAGTCAACAATTCAAAGCCACAGGGCACTCCACAGGCAACCCTATGAGGAAATTCTGCTCTGTCTTTGTGAGTCAGAATGCACTCAGTAATGACAAGAGTATGCTTGAAATGTATACGTGACATGATAGTTAATGATATGTTTTAGTTATGTACAATCTGCCTCTGAAAAAATGTTATCTATTCATGCCTATCTTTGTTAAAGGCCTTTTATGTGTCAGTTGATAGGATCCTGTGGTTCTTGTTCTTTGCTTTGTTCCTGTGATGAGATACATTGGTGGTTTTTCTTATATTTAACCATTCATGTCCATCCTTAGGAGGAGTTAGAAAAATATGCCATAAAGATGTCAGCTACAAAGGAAGGGAAGATCTTGCTGCTGACAAGTGAGGGGATTTCAGCGCCAGAGCTTAAGGCTTGGGAGTCTTACAAAAAGGAATCTATGGCAGCAGACAGGAAAACGTTGACCATGTTGGACTGACTTTTACCTCTTCTATGAGGAGACGCCAATGGCAAAGAAAAGAGTAATTCATGTGTTTGAGAGCTTCCTTACCTGGCCTTTGAGGCTAAAAAAGGTGGCAGACTCAAAAGTCTGATTCCAGGATTTTTCTTTGCTGAGGGTTTTCAGCAGCTTCTCTCCCTCATTCAGATACACATAGGCCTGCAACCAGCACAATAAGGAGAAAGCGGAGTCACCAGGGATTCTAACCACAGAGGGGCTGTCCTCCCAGACTCTGCTGAAGGAAGCTCAGCCCTGGCTCCACTGATTAAAAAGAGCCTCTAGACTCTAGATGGGAACTGGGGGAGGAGCTCCTACCAAGGACACTGGCCACCTTCCTGCCTACCTTTACCCACTGGGTCATTCACTCTAGAGGATATATCTAAAAATCTTCAGCTTCCCTCATGTCACATAAGTTGCCTTACTGAAGATTCTGCCAGGATAATTTATCTTTTGAGTAATTCAACCTGCCATTCCCCAAAAACACATACAACTGCTGATAGTATCCAACATCTGTGGGAGTCAGTCTACTTTTGGGATGAGCTATGAACCATTTTCATTTCCCTTGAGGTTGCCAGCTTTGCAAGGAGGAAGAAGAAAGTAAACCTCTCCATCCCCTCTGGCACCATTCGATTATTATACTTGGTACATCTGAACACCAAGGCAAGGTCAAAATAAATTAAAACTCAGTGCTGTCGAGCCAGAACTGATGCATAGCTGAGCCTTCTTTGGGTTTCTGAGGCCGTAAATGACGAGGAAAAGATCACATCTTTTCCTCCACAGAGCTGCTGGTGTTTGAATTCATCTGAGAGGCAAAGGCTTTGCAACTTCTACAGACTGCCACCAGAGCCTCCAACAAGGTCAGAATAGAGAAGTAAAGTAAGGTGGGGTGATGTATCCCCAGCCTACAGCAGCCTAAGAAGTATGTTTGGGAGTCAGAAAGAGAGAAACAGGAGTAGTTGGCAGCAGATCCCCTTCACACCAGATTTTCTTTGATCAGTGAAGGGATGCGAATGACATATCCTGGGTCTTTGCTCTGGGGCTCTACTTCCAATCCCAATCTTTCTGACCAATCATCCCTCTCTGTGTTGAGTTTGCTGGGTACTTGCATATGTTTTTGCAAATCAGTTTTCAAACCCAGTACTATCTAGCAAGGTCCAATCTGGGTCATATCAACACTCCATCAGGTTTCTGAAGCTGTAAAATCTTTACTGAAGGGCATTAGTTATCCTTCCTCCATGGAGTAGCTGGTGGATTGGAATTGCTAACCTTTTGGTTGGTATTGTTTTTGTTAGAGTCATAGAGTTGCTTGTGACTCCTAGTGACCCCATATACAACAGTTCTGAACCCTGCTCTATCTTGAGCCAATTTCATTGTATCTGACACACTTAACTCTCAATACGTGAGTCAATTCATCACATCCAGTTTTCCTTTTCCTATCCTGTACTGTCTCTCCACCTTTCCAAGTATGTTGTCTCTCTCCAAGGACTGGTCCCTCCTGGCAACATGCCCAAAGTATGTGAGACATAGCTTTAAAATTCCAGTGCTACTTTCAACTCACTTCCAGTGCTACCCAAACCCACTCTTTGTGGGTCTCACTGGCCACCTCCTTCCACAAATAGGACACTATCTACACATGCATACATATACATACATGCTTAAAATATGTGCATATAAGGCAACTCTGGTGGCCTAGTGGCAAGAAACTACACTGCAATCTCAGAGGCGTGCGGTTTGAATCCACCAGATGCTCTGCTGGAGAAGGAGTGACAATCTCCTCCTGTACCTTTCAGATCTGATTTGACGGCACACACACACACTCTTAAAAAAATGTGTATATAGGTACCAGAGACCTGTTACACTTAGCATGAATTTATGAGAACAGGGACTTACTAGAATTTTCACTAGTTTCACATTTAAAATTTTATCCAAATTTAAGGTGTGATGGTTGAGTAGGCTGCTCTGATCAGCAACTGTAAGGCATGATGCAGACAGACCCTTACTGTGGACAAGAAGTCCTGTGGGTATGAGTGTTTAGGTTTAGCTGTGTATAAGACTTTTCCTGAGGCTGGCTGGAGTAAGATGGAGTACCTCAAAATAGTTTGTGAAAGGCTAGTCCAGCTAGCTCTCAAAGAAGTTCCAGAAACAAAGTGTGCCTTACTAGAAGTAGTTCCAGTCTTGATATGACCTCACCCTTTACCCACGAGGAGATTTAGATGTGTTTTAGCATATCAAAACCCCAAGAATTAGTTGCAGTTTAGCTTTATTCTGTTCATTCTTTATTCAAGTCAGTGCTTCTCAAACTTTTAAAAAAATGAATTCTTTCTTTACCATTGTTGTTGTTATGTACCATTGAGTTGGAATGGACTCATGGCTGACCCTCCCTTCAGAGGGTTCTCAGAGACAGTAAGTTGCACGGGAGATTGGCCGTCTTACTCCTCTTACTCCTCTTGGGCTGGTGGATTTGAATTGCATGCCTTTGGGTCAGCATTATATATAATAAATTCTTCCAATTCAAGTGTTCCATGGATATAAACTGCTGGGGCGTATTACCCTGGAAGCTTACTTACAAATCATTGTCCTATGGTGGTTGATAGGTGTATATGATGATCTGGCACTAAATGCATGCAGAACAAAGTGGGTAAAAGTCTCCTTGTAAATAACAAGATTAAAATCACATTTGTACTCATTTAAAGACCTTGTAAGTATAATGATATGTATTCCCTATGTCACAAGGAGACTGGGGTTTGAGTCCTTGGTGAGGAGGTAAACACTCTTAGGGAGCTCTGATGGCATAGTGGGTAAGGAGACATGCTGCTTACCCAAAGGCAAGGGGTTTGAATCTATCCACCTCTCCAAGTGAGAAGTATGGACAGTCTCCTCTTGCATGATGTACAGTCCCTGAAAATCTGCTGAAGGGTCAGCTATTAGTAAGTTTCAACTCTACAGCAGTGGGTGATAGAGGGGAAAACTCACAAATATATTTTACAGGTAAAATACATACTCATATCTTTTTTTAAGGCAAAGGGGAAAAACCCACTGGGATATTATTGGAAAAAACTCTAATCAGAAATTGAATCAATGGGACCACAAATGATACCACTTCTATGTAATTTTTGGAGAAGAGATCTGACTCCCACAGGTAGATAGGTCACAGTAAATTTCTAAAGGTAGTAATATTTTAAATGGTGCATGATATTATATACATCATTGGTGTCAACTCTCTTTTCTGGACCTTAGACAGTGATGTCTGGGTAATTCTGTTTTCAAAGGGGAAGAATGTTGACAGGAATCCAGAACACAAAGCAATAAAAAGCTTCCTTCAGTCTTTTCTGGCTTGATAGTCTATAAATTGTCCTTAGAATGGAAGACAATTGGAGAGAACCGGCTTACCATATAATTATCACCCAAGATGAGATAAGCAGATGCAATTTCTAGAAAGTAATATAAAGCTTTGTTGTTTTCTCCCAAAGCCAGAAAGTGTTGGGCCAGAGGCAACAGGACGATCTCTAAGATCTCTTCACATTGGCAAGACTCCAGGGGGATGATGTCTTCCTCAGTTTTCTTCATTTTTTCTATAATGTTTTCAAAGAAACCCAGGATCTTTTCTTTGGCTTCTTCAGGACTGTCCAAATGCAGAGAGGAATAGGAATAACAACTTCTAGGTATAGTATACTTTTCAATAGGAAAATGTCTATTAAAACTAATAAGTAACAAAATAAATGAAATGTAGATGCCACTCTCCAACATGCCATCCAATCCACACTACATTTCCTTGCCTGCCCTATAGAATCAAAAGTACTGACTCGACAAAACATTCTAACAGGGTTCTGAATTTAGTGACCATTTTTTGTGCACTACCACCTAAACAATTAGCTGTCTGTACCTGAGATCTTCAGAAAAGACGTACACTTTCTTAGGAACATATGGACTGGGAAAGAGCTCTTCTTTAGCTAGAAAATAAACAAATTACATGGGTCATTGAAATGCTTCCTAGTAGCAGGCATGTCTTGTTACCCTCTCAGAGTATAGAGTTGTTGCTGCTCAGTTAGGATTTACATTTCCTAGTGCCAACTCTAGTGCAGGTAAAGGTACATGATTCATTCTCACAATGACTTAGGTGAGAAGTGTTGTATGCTACAGATGGATTGAGATAGGGGTCCTCTCTGGCCTCTCCTTCCACAGGAAAGCAAAAGGTTCTGAGGACCTGAAGGAGAGCAGAGCTATAACATGGAAGGAGCCTGGCTTCCTGACTCACTTTGAGAGCAAGGCAATTTGTCAAAATATTCACTGGATTGTTACAAGAGCAGGAAATAAATTACCTTTCTATTGTGTTAAGTCATGGAAGTGCTATATTATAACTGATAACATTATTCTAATAAATTTATCCTGCAATAACAAAGGTCATGAGTTAAAGATCCTGAAGTGAATGGTATACATTTCCAGAGTCAGGGGAGGGGATTGTATATTTAAATAAAATTCTCCAAAAGGGTAACTAAAGTGCAGAGAACATAGAATGAAAAACCTTCAGAAATTAGTCTAATCCAACTAGACTTCAGTAGGCTAGACAATTCACAGTGATCTTGTAAGATCATCTGGGAGCTAGGCAACATTCCATTCCAACCATACCTTATGGGAGACATTCCAATCACCCTGGTGTCATAGGGAGATAGCCCAGTGTCATACGGCTACAGCCAATCAGAAGAGACCATGACCACTGGCCACGTCCTGCTCAACCCTCAGCCATGACATAATCCACCTAAAGAAACTGAGTAGCTCCATATTTGGGAACTAACAGAGGGCATCCAATCAGCATCCTCCACAGAGAGCTGACCATTGAGCTGACCTCCCTACCCACAACCCTTATCTATAAAATGTGGACTGTAATTTCCTCCCCTGGGACTCTCCTGCCCCGTACTGTCTTTCTCTGGCCTGGGTCTGTGGAACCTTGACCATGAGCTGCTAATAAACTCCTGTTTTACTTTATCTGGTTTCCCTGTGCACTTTTTACCTTATAGATCTTAGAACAGAAAACAAAGAAATGAGGATTCTTTAATATGACCACCTCTTTACTTTAGGAACAAAAGTGTCCTGGGAAGGGAAAGGGCTTTCCTTAGATTCTGTGGTAAATGATAGAGGTTGGACTAACATCTAGGTCTTTTCACTTCAAGGTTAATGCATTACTTGACAGATTTTTTTTTTATAAAGTTGTAATTTGTGCACCTAGTTAGTATATTTTTAAAAAGGATGTTTTGTTTTGTTTTGTTTTCATGAAGTTCTACATAGTAATTTAGGTTCTCATTCAATTTCTACACAAATCATTCAGTAGCACAGGCTACATTCTTCCCAATATGTGGCCATTCTCCTGATTTCTGTTGTTTCCGGTAACCTAGTAACCCCTTACAAGTAATCCCTTACCTTCTCAGCCTTGTTATCTTTGTTTTAAAGTAAGTCATTATATAGATGATTTTTTAAAAGGACTGAAGTACTCACAAGTGATAGTCTTCACTCTGTGAGTCAATCTGTTATTTAACTAAATGTTCTCCAGGACTTATTTTAGTTAAAGGCTTAAAGGGTATCTCGAGAAAAGAGAAAATAAAAAACAAAAAAAAGAGAGTATCTCTGGGCAAAGTCTTGGGCAGTCCTCAACTCTCAATCAGTCCAGGAAGTCAGAATTTTTAAAAATAAATTTGAGATTCTATTCTACATATTCTCTGTCCTACTGGAATCCATCTATTGTAGCCCTGTAGTTATCAGCTTCTTTTGCCCCTGTGCACTTCCAGAAAACTAATGTTTCAATGACTTGAAAGGAGTAATGTCACAACAGAACCAACCCAAATAAGAAGTATAATATTGGAATGCTATGGAGCTATGGTAGCCTAGTGGCAAGAAGCTGTGCTGCAATTCTGAAGGCATGGTGGTTCGAGACCACCAGCTGCTCTGTGGAAGAAGGATGGGCAATTTCCGCACATGCAGTTAACTGCCTCTGAAAACTTGCTGGAGTGTCAGTTATGTGTCATTTCTGACTCTACGGTACACCAAGAAGACAACAACATGAAGATTGTACCCCAACAAATGTGAAAGCAGCAGTGGATAAATTATAATAAACTTACACCCTATAAAAACTGACACAGATTGAAATAGAATACTTGAACAGATTAATAAAAAAAGAAGACATCAACCAGGTCATAAAAAAGCTCCCAGCAAAAATATGTCCCAGACTAAGATGGCTTCTGAACATACAGAAAAGAACTGTTACCAATTCTACTTAAATTATTTCAGAAAAGAGAAAAAGAAGGAATACTCCAAGATTCAATCTATGAAGTATGCATAATTCTGATACCAAAACTATGTAAAAATACCAACAAAAAAGAAAACTATAGACTAATATCCCTCATGAATAGAGACACAAAAATCCTTACTAAAATTCTAGCCAATAGAATTCAAGAGCATATCAAAAGAATAATTCATCATGATCAAGTGGGATTTATGCCAGAATAAATTCAAGCTTTGAGTTGCAATACTTAAGGATGATTTGGGCAGAATATTAAATGATTCAAGAGGCATTAAAAGAAGATGGAAAGAATATACAGAGTCATTGTACCAAAAGGAATTGGTGGGCACAGCAGAATTTCATGAAACAAAATATGAGCAAGAGCCTGTGGTGATGAAGGGGAAAGTTCAAGCTGTACTGAAAGAATTGGCAAAAAAAAGCCCAAGGCCCCAGTAATTGATGGTATACCAAGTGACATGTTTCAACAAACAGACTCTATCCTGGATGTGCTTATCAAGTTGTGCCAAGAAATCTGGAGGACAACTACCTGGCCAACTGACTGAAAGAGATCAATATTTGTTTCCATTACAAAGAAAGGTGACCCTACGAACTGTGAAAATTATTGAACAATATCATTGATATCATATGCAAGCAAGATTCTGCTGAAGATTATCCAAAAACAACTGGAACAGCACATCAACAGAAAACTGTCAGAAGTGTAGGCTAGGTTTAGAAGACACTGTGGTACTGGGATATTATAGCTAATGCTAGATGGATCTTGGTTGAAAGCAGACAATACCAGAGAAATGTCTGTGTCTCATTGACCATGCAAAGGCATTTGACTTCGTGGATCACTACAAACTATGGCTGACTCTGAGAAGAATGGGAATCCCAGAACATTTCATTGTTCTTATGCGAAGCCTATACTTGGACCAGGAGGCAGTTGTTAGAACAGAGAAAGAAAACATCGCATGGTTCAAAATTGGGAGTAGTGTACGGCAGGGATGTGTCCTGTCTCCATACCTTTTCAATGTATATGCTGAACATACTATCTGGGAGGCTGGGCTCTATGAGGAAAAATGTAGCATCAGGATTAGAGGTAGACTCATCAACAATCTGTGTTATGCAGATGATACAACCCTGCTTGCTGAACCTGAGAGGACCTGCAGCACTTGCTACAGAAGGTCAAGGGCTGCAGCCTTCAGTATGTATTGAAGCTCACCATCAAGAAAACAGAGATTCTCACCACTGGGCTGATTGGCAGCATCATAACAGATGGTGAAGAGATTGAGATTGTTAACAGCTTTAGTTTGCTTGGATCTACAATGAACACTCTTGGTACCAGCAGCCGGGAGATGAAAAGACAAATTGCACCAGAAAAGTATGAAGAGCAATGATGTCAGTCTGGACACTATGGTGTGTGTGATACAGGCCATGGTCTTTAATTACTTGCTATGCATCAGAAAGCTGGATCATGACTACGGATGAGAGAAGGAGAATTGATACCTTTGAGCTGTGGTTCTGGAGAAGAGTCTTGAGTATACCATAGACAGCTAGGAGAACAAACAAGTTCATCCTAGAGAGGGTGAGACCAGGCTGTTCCTTGGAGGCAAGGATTCTGAAGCTTTGTCTGACATACTTTGGACATGTTGCAAGGTGGTACCAGTCCTTGGAGAGGGACGTCATGCTTGGGAAGCTGGAGGGGCAGCGCAATAGAGGAAGACCCCAGATATAATGGATTGATTCAGTGACTAGGGTAATCGGGGTAAGTGTGTCAGAGACAATAAGATTAGCACAGGATAGAGCAGGACTTAAGACTGTTGTACACAGGGTCACTATGAGTTGCAGGTGACTCGACAGCACATAACAACAACAATAACATGCAAGACTGGTTCATCATAAGAAAAACAATCAATGTAATACACCTCACCAATAAAACAAAGGGCAATACCCACTTGTTCATCTCAATTGATGCAGAAAAGGCTTTTGACAAAATGCAACATCATTCTCTGATCAGAACACTCAACAAAATAGGAAATGAAAGGGATTTCCTCAACATAGTTAAGAACATGTATGCTAAAGCAATAGCTCACCTCATCCTCAATGGAGATTAGATGCATTCCCCTTGAAAAGCAGACTACACAAGGATGTCTCTTATCACAACTCCTATTCAATATTGTATTGAAGTCCTAGCAAGAGCAATAAGGCAAGATAAAGAAGTTAGAGGTATCCAAATTGACAAAGAGAAAGTAAAACTATTTCTATATTTAGATTATATGATTTTATACATAGAAAACGCCAAAGACTCAGCATAAAAACTGTGAAGCCTTGCAGAAAAACTTAGTGAAGTGGCAGGATACAAGATCAGCATATAAAAATCTGTCAAATTTATAATAGCAAAGAGAACATAGAAAAAGAAATAGAAAAAATATTAATTAAATAATCAACCACAAGATCAAATACTTAGGAATAAGCATAACTAGAGAAATGAAAGATCTATATAAAGAAAAGTACATAACACTCCTCCTTCTCCTCCCCCTCCTACTACTACTGAAAATGAAGGAAAAAAGAGAAATAGTAGGAGCTATCACAGTTCCTGAGCTCATCTGAAAACATACTACAAAGCTGTAGTAATCAAAACAGCAAGGTACTGACAGACATCCAGACAAATGAAATAGA